GGGATCCCAGTGCATGCAAAGCAAGGACTTTAGCCACCTAGGCTATGGTGTTGGCACCATTGATGCTAATTATTGTCTCAGCTGCTATATTTCTGATCCAACTCTCTGCTGATGGCCTGGGAAAAGCAGTGCAGGATGGCCCAAGTGATTGGATCCCAGCCACCCATGAGGAACCACCTGGGTGAAGCTCCTGACTTCCGGCTTCAGCCTGTCCTAGGCCTGGCTGTTGTGGTCATCTGGAGGAGTGAACACTGGGGGGAAGGTGTCTCTCTCTTTCTCTCCGTTCTTTCTCTACCCCCTTCTCTCTAACTCTGACTTTCAACAACATGAAAAATATATACTGAGGCAAATGATGGGTATAATTTAGCATAGTTGAACTGTGGCATAGTAAGGTTATTTATCAAAATTTAGTCTTGGGATTTATTAATATATAAATTTATTCTGTGTAAGATTATTTGAGCTATTTAATATAATTTAATCTAGTTTGATACAGGTGTTTGTATTTTCTAATGAAGTTTGAATTGTTTTGAAATACCAGGAACTGGATCACTAACCCTCCCTCCCCTCTCATCCCTACCTTCTTTGGACTGCTGTCTGGCTGGGAGGACTTGGAGGATATTGACAGGTTATGTAGCCTTGACAGTTGTTTCAAGTTGCTGGCAGGAATGTATTGCTGAGTTTGCTCTTCTGAACCATGAAAGGTGAATGAAGGGAGAGTTGCATAATTTATGATGGTAATAAAGGATGTGAAAGTCGGTTTTGACTTGAATTTGATCATTTACTCTGGGGACATGAAATGTCTTTATAATACCAAGGTTTGATTTTTTTTTAAATTGGCTTGAGTCTTATAGCTTGAAGATACAGTTACACTGTTTTATAGTTTAGCTTTAAATTTGTAACACTAGCATTTGTATTCTCCTGGGGTTTGAGTTTATGGAAAACAGATGTAATATCAAGAGAGGCATGACACATAACTAGCTTGTAACTAAAGTAAAGGCTTTAACTCCATGCCCCTGCTTTACCTTAAAGTTCTCAACTTCCTTATCACAGACATGGACTATCCTATCAAAAGTATAAATTTGCAGTTTTTAAAGTACCAGGGAGGCACTAATTCACATTGTTCATTTGATATTTATACTACCTGGAGATGTATCCTCTCTCTGATGATTTTTATACATTCTAAATACTTGGTCTTGATCTTGGTCTGTCTGTGAAATTTAAATATGTGAATAATACATGCCATTTGCCCCAATGTTATTGCTGATGTTTCTTTTTATGATTTCTTGAGATATTTCTGAAACTTTCAGCATCAGTCAAGTATTTATTCAAATCCTGCTAGTTTAAGGGTAAAATGTATAATTTAAGTTTGCTTGTTTCTTGTTATAATTTAAGAATGGTGATATTTAAACCATGAAATACATTCAGCTTAGTGGAGCCGTGAAACACAGTTCAGAATGACAATGAAAGCTTTGGTTTTAAAGCATTTCTAATTCCCTCCTTTACAGTCCCCTCATGTTCATTTTTATGTGTTGTTTGTTGTTGCACTAAATCAAGGAGTAAAGACAACAGCAAGTTCATTTCTGTTTCAGTCAGCCTTATTAAATTAAGTTAAAACTATAAGTTACCGGCTTAAAGAAAGGAAAGGATTTATATATGTTAGTGAACATTTGAAAAGTGATATGCTGTAATTGCCACTATAATTTCTAAATGAACTGGAAATACTTTGAAAAAGCAAATTATGCCAAAACTCGAAAAACTGAAATTTTCTTAAAGTGCCAAATAGCAAATGTTGTAGACTATTTGGGCTATGTGGTCTGTGCTGTAGCTTTTCAGCACTTTCTCAAAACTACACAACTCTTCAGTTCTGTTGTCCTGTAAAAGTATATTAATTGGTAATATAAAGTAAATAAATGAATGCGCTTGGCTGTGTTACAGTAGAATTATATTTAGAAAAACAAGTAACTAGCCAACCAACATATGTGCTGTAGAAACTAATTCTAGTCTAATTCATAAGCTCTCATGTATCGAAGTGGTCTCTGTCCCACACGAACATCTCTGACTATTCTTAAGGATAAGTTGCAGGTGATAGAGCACTCTTTGGAGGTGTAGAGCTATTTTCAGGTGAAGTAATATGAAAGTGAATTTTCTTTCAGATACTGGAATGACTACAAATGAAGCACATTTGGCAAACAGAGAACCAGGTGATGGATACATGGGTTTTCTCACCTGGTCCTCTCTACTTCTGTGTTTAATCCAAAGTATCTGTATTAAAAAGCTAATGATGGTGCAGCAAAGGCCCCAGTTCCGTCCTTCTCTTCCTACGCTTTGGGTTGAGGAGAGCGAGAAACAGAACCACGGCCACCATTTTAAGCACAATCAGGGCAATGTCAGCAGTTCCAAAACACGCTGGATCAGGGAAACTTGCCAGATGGATGAGAGGTCTGGTAGATGTGTGGGAAAACCCGGGAAATCCTCAAGGTCGCACATCCCAGCAAAATCAGGCAAATACAGCTCACGAAGGCAAGTGGCTGCTGAAGCAACCCTGTTGCTTCACCTTCCAACTCTTCAAAGAAAAGTTAATCTAGTATTAACATGTCAAGCTTCAGGAAGTTCAGATCTCATGAGTCCTACTGCAATGAGAAGAAGTTCAGCCAACCAACAAATGAAAGGAGCAAACTACAGCCAGATAATTGACAGCGGGCCTGAAGTCCATTAGTCTGCAGAATTAAGTCTTAAGGAAATCTGGAAGTGAGGTTTACAGAGCAGAATATGAATCTTCTCAATCTTGACAATATAGTAAACTTGACATGCTACCGGTGACATAAGGAAGTTAGATGGATGAGAGGGACAAAAGTGACATGGAGGCAAATTTTATAACAAGCTGCCAAAAGATGTCATTTGAAATAAATCCAATGAAAGCTGAAGTGTTAGAGTGGAAGGAAGTGTGTATGTAGTTGATAGTAGAAACATAGATTGAAAGATTATCTCTAAGAGAATTAATATAAACTAAACTGGAAGTAGACAGGAAGGGGACAAATAACAAAATTATATCAGTTGTTCATAATGTAGTTTGCATTTTAATATGAAGTATAGTTTACAGTTATAAATATTTATTTATTCAGCATGTGTTTGGTGGGATTTGTTATTTGCCCAGCAGTATTAAGTGGCCAAAACAGGCTAAAAATCCTTGCTTCATGTTTTAGGGGAGACAAACAAGAGAGAAGTAAATAAATAAATACTTCGTTGTGAGAGGTTGAGTGTGCGACTTGCAGGGATCAGGAATGCCAGCTCATGGGATCGCTGTTTTGCATTGGGTGACCAGAGTAGGCCTCACCAGATGATGGAATTTGAGCAAAGACTGCAAGGAAGTAAGGGAATCCAGATAGTTCCCTTAGAACTCTCAAGCAGTGCTCTTAGCAGAGGGAACAGCCATTGCAGAGGGGCTGAAACCAGAGTGTTCAAGAAACAGTGCTAAAGCAGGATGGGGAAGTGGCAAGAGACGAAGTCATAGACAAAAGGAGCATCATCATACTGGACCTCACAGACCTCTGAAAGAACTTTGAATTTTATTCTGAAATCAGAAGAAATACATTCACACCTGAAGCAAAGCTAGCACAAATGATTTACAAAAAAAAAAAAAAAAAAAAACACAGCAATGAAAAATAGAAAGCAAAACTGAAAAGAGATTAAATGTGTCTGTGACATAAATGTAAGTAAACTTTGCCATTTGACGATCACAAAGAAAACTATAGTCATTCCTAATATAAAGATATTTAACAAGGTTAAGGAAAGGACAGCCAAAGACACAGCAGCCTTATGCAAGCTAAAAAATACAGGAATCGTGATCTCACAATTTTGTAAGACTTGGTACAAAAAGCATTACAGTAGGAAAAAAGATATGCAAGATCATATGAAAAAATCCTTAAAGTCCTTCCCCAAGATACAAAGAGACTTAAATGGAGAGGCTCTTGGGCAAAAAGAATCAAAGTCACTTAGGTGTTCATTTCTTGTGTGTTAATCCACTAAAATTAATACCTAATGAACCAAGTGTTTAAACCTGAAAAACTGAACTAGCTGTACACCAAATTTCTAGTAACTGTAAGTGCTTTATTTACATATTTTTATGAATGTCAGCAACCCTGTGTGCTCTCTTCACTTGGAAAGAGTTGGGAATGATGATATTGGAAGGATGTAAGTTTGTCATATGCCGTACGCATGTAAAGCTTTGCATCATTACAAAGTCCTAAATTACTTCTCTGAGGAAATGGGGTAGAGCATGGCAGACTCACAGGCTAAAACATTGAATTTCAGTCGGTTAACGCCTTCCTTTCTTGCTTCTTTGATCCTTTAAGGACCTGAGAAAATAAGAAGGTAGAGGGAGTAAATTAAACATCTGGCAGGTCAGCCTGTTTATTCAGTTTTCTTTGTGAAACCTGGCTTAATTAGGAAAGCCTAAATCCCTGACCCACAGGTCCATTGACATTACTGTTAAAGCAGTAAAGGTGGGTGGGCATGTGGCTGCCTTCAGACGCTCTGCAGAGGTGTGATTGAGGGCTCAAGGGAAGAGGTTGTCCACATCTTAAAAAGGAGGGTGAATAGAGAAGCCAGCTGCCTATTTATGTCGTAGTAAAGTTATGGTAATATGTGAACTAAAAGTCTAAAGTCAGCAAGAGAATGTAACAAGAAAATTTAGTTTCAACCAGTAAAACCAGTATTCTGTTTTTTAAAAAATATTTATGTGATATAATTCTAATTTGTTTACTATGGTGTTTGACTCATATACATGTTTGTAAATATGTTTGCATATAATGTTAAAATCACCAAATGTTCACCTTACAATGTTGTTACCTTATGGTGATAGGAGTTTGAGGGGGTTTTATTTTCTTTTATGTGTAGTTTTAATCTCTTGTACCAAAAGAATTTATATTCCTTATGTCACACACACATCCACTCATGCACGTTTCTTGTGTTCTGACTGGAGATGTCCATGTCTTTCCTAGGTACACCAGAGGCTGTCTTCCTGGCAAAATTTAGGAGCTGTGTATTGCAGCACTGTTGTGCCCTCTGATGGTGAGTTTTGGCAAATCCACTTTTTACTTCTCTTAAAGTGCAGATTTTAAGCATGATGTAAAAAATAATAATAATCAATAACCTATATTCATTCACTTAAGGTGGTGGGCATGGGGGTCAGAGAGAGGAGACTGCTAAAAAAGAAAAAAATGTATCTAGGTGAAGATCTAGTCAATTTAGAGAAGAAAACCAAGAAGAGGAACTAGTACTCATCAAGTCATCATAAACCATGAACTATTCATCTGTTTTCAAACTGGGGACGGGATGTAGTTGATATGTGGGCCACAAGAGCACCGCCTTCGGTATTTGGCTAACCGTTGGGTCTTGGCATCACGGATGTGGATCCAGTGCTCCAGCCCTTTCAGGGCATCAGAGCCCAGGCAGGCAGCTCAGTCGGAGACCGCCTGCTTTGTCGTTTTCTCGTCTTTGGCTCAGGGCAGTAGTGCTCTGTGATGTGGAAGGAAGTCACAAGTGCATGAGAGCCTTTGTGAATGTCCACAATCCTACAAATGCAAGGGCATCCGGGTACTACATGTCTTTGCAGCAGTGGAGGGAGATATGTTTATTACTCAGCGTTTCTCTTACCCAGTATTGTATGTTTGGAGTATACATTGCTTAGGCTCAGGGGTGAACTGCTAAATGTTTCCTCTGTATAGCCCTTTGTTTGAAAGAGCACTAAATTCAGCCTTATAAACAGTAATTCCTAGGCACAACAAAGCTTTGAAAGCATCCTTCAGTTTTGCCAGGGCATCTTAAACTGAAGAAGTCTGGAAGATGAACCGCAGGAGCCCTAGAACCCCCGACGTGTATCACTGCTGTCATTTGCCCAGTGTTGTCAGAAGCCCCTCCCCAAAGCTGCTTTACTGTCAGAATTTGTAGACACAGTGTGCTTGTGGTTGCCAAGTGCTCTAAAGCCATCTGTAGTTACTCATTTGTACTATGGAAAGGATGAAGGCAGACATAGGCCATAATCAAAAACATTTTTCTAAGTTGCTGATTTTTTTCTTGTAAAGGCAAAAACCTAATAAAGTTGTAGCTTTAATATGTAAATAAGAAGGCAGCACCCTGCTTCATTACAGCCAGAGGATACGGGGTACATTGCCACACTCAAAAGTCGTTACAAAACCCAGATACCAGTACCTCCTGCCTTGCCCAAGTCGGGGGACCTTGATGCCACCTGCCCCTGCTACCTACTTCCTTCCCTCTGTAAGTCCTTCCAAAGCAATGTGTGGTGTCTCTCTTCCCCCCGACATTGTTTCAGTGGATTAAACAGACACACAGAGTCTGTCCACAGCAATGTTGCCATCACTTCCAGGGTTCATTGCCTTCCTCTGTCATCACTGCTGGGTGACACTGCATGTTTCAATCTCAATGTGAAAAATAATTACTCTTGGTGCTGAATCCTCTCAGCTGTTGCTGAACCAGCAGTATTTCATGCAAACATTTCTAATCTTTATAATTTGTAATATTGTCTGAAATATATATATATTCAGTGTTAGCATGTCTATATATATTTCAGCAAATTGAATAATATATAATTATACATAATATCAACCAGGTCACACTGCAACATTCCTGTGCCAGTGTTTATGAATGTTTAATGGCACTTAATTTAAACTAATGAATTTGTATTGTCATTTTATGTTAATTTAGTTATTTAATGCTACTAGTGTTATATACCAACCCGCAAGAAAATATTTTTTATTTTAAAAATGAAAAGACAGAAATAGAATGGGAGAATCAGGTATTCCATCCAATGGTTCACCCTGGAAACCACAGTGGTAGGAGCTATGCTAGGCTGCAAAGCCAGGAGCCAGGAGTTTCATCTGATCTACCACATGGGTGGCAAGGACTCAAGCATTTGGATCCTCCTCAGCTGCTTTCCCAGGCGCATTAGTAGAGAGCTGAATTGGAAGTGGAGCAGCCAGAACTCAAACAGGGCCCAAACCAGGGCCACAACACCAGCCCCAAGAAAGGGTTTTTTTTAATATAAATAAATTATTATTTTTACAATATTTATTTATTTTTGTGGGAAGGCAGGTTTATAGAGAAGAGAGACAAAGATCTTCTGCCTGCTGGTTTACTCCCCAAGTAGCCACAACAGCCAGAGCTGGGCCAATCCAACACCAGGAACCAGAAGCCTCTTCTGGGTCTCCCATGCGGATGCAGGATCCCAAGACTTTGAGCCATCCTCTGCTGCTTTCCCAGGCCACAAGCAGGGAGCTAGATGGGAAGTGGAGTAGCTAGCATTAGAACCGGCGCTCATATTAGATCTCAGTGCATGCAAGGCAAAGATTGAGCAGGTAGGCTATCGTGCTGTACCCCGTACATACAGTTTAAAGAGCATCTCTTGGGCCCAGCGTCGTGGCCTAGCAGCTAAAGCCCTTGCCTTGAATGCGCCGGGATCCCATATTGGCACTGATTCTAATCCTGGCAGCCCCACTTCCCATCCAGCTCCCTGCCTGTGACCTGGGAAAGCAGTCCAGGACGGCCCAAAGCTTTGGGACCCTGCACCCGTGTGGGATACCCGGAAGAAGTTCCTGGATCCTGGCTTCAGATCGGCATAGCATCAGCTGTTGCGCTCACTTGGGAAGTGAATCATCAGATGGAAGATTTTCCTCACTGTCTCTCCTCCTCTCTGTATATCTGACTTTCCAATAAAAATAAATAAATCTTAAAAAAAAAAGAACATCCCTCACTTGTTCCCACTTTCCCTTCTTCCTTCCTTCCTTAATTTTCTTTTAATTTTCACAATGACATAGTTACTTTTTATTTTCTATTTGTCTATCCTCTCTGAAAAAAACTTAAATATTCCATCCATTTAAAACATTTGGTTGCTGGGCCCAGCTCAATGGCCCAGTATAAGTCCTTGCCTTGCATCTGCCAGGATCCCATGTGGAGAATGCTGGTTCCTGTCCTGGCTGCTCCATATGGGACCCCAGCACTTGCAAAGTGAGGATTTAGCCAGTAGGCCATTGCACAGGACCCATGAAATATTTATTTTAAAGACAGATTACAGAGAGAGGAAGAGATAGGGAGAGAGAGAGATCTTATACTCACTGATACATTCCTCAAATACCTGCAGCAAACAGGGTTGTGCCAGGTCAAAGCCAGAAGCCAGGAATTCCATCCAGGTCTCCTATATGGGGGACAGCAGTCCAAGCACCTGGCTATCTTCTGCTCTCTTCATAGGTTTATTATCAGGAAGCTGGATCAGAAGCAGAGGCAGGACTCAGTCTCACACAGTCTGATCTGGGATGTGACATCCTAAGCAGAAGCTCTGTCCACTGTGCCACACAACGCCTGTCCCCTCAAGAAAATATTTCACTCATTTTAAACAGTGATTACAGTTGTACTAAGGTAGCTAGCTTGATGTTACTGTAGGACATGAATGCTAGTAGGTGTTCCTGTGTTGCCTGAAGGGTTGAAGATAATATTTTTATGAAAACTAAAAAGATTATCTTTTAAAATCCTGAGTCCTTCTCAGAATTCCTACCAATCCTGTTTGCTCTTCTTAAGAAACCAACTTAGAGTCCAACATTGTAGCTTAACAAGTGAAATCATTGCCTGCTGTGCTAGCATCCCATATGGGGCGCTGGCTTGTATACTGGCCACTCTGCTTTTGATCCAGCTCTCTGATAAGAGCGCAGGACAGCAGTGGAAGATGACCAAGTTACTTGGACCCCTGCCATCCATGTGGGTGACACGAATGAAGCTTCTGGTTCCTGGTGTTAGCCTGGTCCAGCCCCTCTCTTTGCGGCCATTTGGGGAGTGAACCAACAGATGGAAAGCTTCTCTCTCTCTCTCTCTCTCTCTCCCTCCCTCTCTGTCTCTTCTCTCTTAAAATATATATAGATCTTAAAATAATATCAACTTGTATTAATTGTCAAGAAACAAACACAAAATTACTTGATTTAATGCAGGTCAACATCCTTACTTATCCTTAATTAGTCCCCTTTTATAAATTTTTATTTTAGATGATGCTTACATAGTTGATCAGGGTGTAAAGGATTAAGGGTCAGAGAAAAGTGGGTGTGACCATTGTTTCCAAGTTTTCCATTGCTTTTTCCTGTATCTGGAGGGAGGAGGGAGCAAGGGGAGAAGCCACACCCAGCTCCCAACCACCCCAGTATCCGAGGATGGGGAAAGGCCACCCAATATTGACCCAGGGTCCTAATGTGGCATATGCTCCGAAGGTTCTGCCCAGGTGGTTTTGATAGTTCTGAAATGTTGTCTATGCAAGGGTGAAGGAACACTTTCAATGTCCGTTGGCTTACATAGTCCGCCTGAGTCTCCATTCACCCCGATATTTTGCTGTCATCATTGGCCTGGGATAGTCGTCCAATCTGTTCTGTTCTCCTTCCTCTGCTGTGGTAACAGATGTCTTCTGAAAGCCCCAATGGGCTGCTATATCCTCTATGTGGATCTGGGCCAACTGTCCACTACATCTTTTTCACTGAGGAGGACCAGTTCTCACAGGCAGGCTTAAGGGCCCAGTCCAGACAACCCAGGCACTGCCAGACTTCCTAAAACCCCAGGGCTCAAGGACCTGGCACTCACTGTAGGCAGGCTTGAGGACCCAGGAGTCCCCGTTTTTAATGTGTTTCTTGTTTTGAGCTTTTAACTTGTTACCTTAGGTCAGAATAATGTGTGAGAAACTGCTGATTACACAGGTACTGTTTAGTCACCAATGACACACTTTTTTTTTTTATCATTCTCTGCTCTAATGTGATTGCTGTGGTATTTTGGATATCAAACAGGGCTTGACCCTTGTTTTTCAAAAAGTACAAAGTCCCAAATACCATCTTGTATAGGTGCAAGGTTTGTATGTAATTTCTCAATAGTTTCCAGTTAACTATGTTGTTTGACATATTGTCTCCTTACAAATATATTGACTGGGATAAAATATATAGATCATCCTAGATGTTTAATCTCTACCAAAGCAGTGTAACAAATGAATTTTTCTTGTGTCATAAATACTTTTAAAGATCCAGTGAAAC